AGAATCTGCCAAGAGGGTATACAACGCATTTACATTTCCCCAATCCCTACCACACGCAACGTGCGTTCTTCCATGCCACCTACAGTAACAACATAACTTTATAAAAGCTAAAATAACCCAAGTGGAGAAAGAATAAAACTTCCATTCGCAAGCAAATATTCAGTTTATTTCATGCCAGTTTCTTCGTATTGATTTTTATCGAATATTTAGGTACATGTAACTCAGAGCATTTTTGTCATGTTTGTTTTCAGGATGTTGTCAATATATTAGAAAACACCATGGAACAGTCTAAAAACACATCTCTTCATCAAGTACAACTGAGTTCAATAACAGAGCAGGAACAAAAGGAAGAAATCTTCAAAATGGCATTTGCCTTTGAAGATTTTGCCAGTAAATATGGCCAATATCATCTCAATGAATCAGTGCCTCAGTTAAACATTGCTAACAACAAACTCGGTAAGTGAAAATACTTTAATTTAAATCATTCCAATCTGGGAAAAGGATGCAACAATATTATATCATAGCAGTTTTGCTACGATAACGGGAATATTCCAACCATTTTGAAATCTCTGGTGATCCTAGCAATCTGCCAACCATGATTGGCTTTTAACAATGTGATTTATTAACGAATCGCACCATTTTTTACTCTAAATCACGTGTTTTCCAAGCCAATGAGAATGGAAATCAAAATCATATTTTAAGGCCTATTTTGTTTTCTGTTTCGCACGCAAAGTGAAATGGTAACGCATTTCCGGTTCTGCTTTATTATCAAACGTGCTGATTGGATCAACAAAATATATCGGTACCCACCGACCAAAATCCTATTTTGGGCGATTAAATTGCACGATTTCAAAATAGACGCAATAAAGTGGAAATATAACTTCATGTCGTGCAATTTTAGTCTGAAATCATACTTCAAATCATATTTCAAATCGAACTCACATTAGTACTACGCACTCCTCCAATTTTGGAATTACGCGTATGATTTAAGACCGAATTGCACTGCACTTGGTTCAGTTACCATTGTCAATAGAATGCTAAAATAATGAGCCCGTCAAACATCTATGGAAACACTTAAAAGTTGAAATGGCTTTCAAATATGTTTTCTTTACTTAATGTACAATAGACATTTGTCGAAGGTCGGGGGCTGAAATTTGACATATATATGCGAACTGATTTGTCCACGAAATAGATTTGTAGTCTTGTCTTTTTTATCATTGTCATTCTGTTGTTTCTTACCCCACAGTTATGCATATGCAACGAGTTTTCAGCCAAAATGCGAGTGATTTTCATCTCGAGGGACCAGTAAAACAGAACTTCATCAACATTCCTTCAAGTAATTTCCACAACAACGGTTTGTTTAACCCGCTTTATGAACGATGCATTACATGAGTAACAGCATTAAAAGAGTGTTTTCCTAGTTTCCATAATATAATGCCAAATGCCACCAAATGTAAAAACAAATTGGATTTTTAAAAAAAAAAACAGATTTCACGGAGCAAACTAGAACAAATGTTTTGACATATTTTGCAAAAAAAGGTACAGGGCTACAGAGATGGAAGTAGTCACAGCTCAAATTTTGTATTAGGGTCTCAAAGAACCTTAATTGCAATTCTGATTAGATTTTGAATTTTTCAGTAAAATTAGAATGCCGTTCCTGGAATAAGATGGTAAGTTAATCGCAAGCACGGCCATACAATTTTAAACACGATTTATCAGCCGGGATGCCGTCCATTTGTTGTTAAAAGTTTACATTTGATTGGCTAAAACATTTTGTCTTTCGTGTCATCGTTTGATCCTAGTACAAAAGATCACAGCTTGTTCACAAACTTACGTTCTCAGACTGGGCAGTACATGTGACTCAGATTTAATTTCTACACCGAGGAGTGACTAGAAAACTCTTTACTCTAAGGTGGCATTCTTCTGCATTGCAGGTCAGACCCATTTCCCAGCAGTTTTACCACGCTACCCTGATAATTCGCCATGGCCAATTTGTTATAAGCGAACTCGTGGCTGTCAAGCTAAGGTCTCAAGTAGATAAATTATATATGGTCTAAACGGTTTTGCATAAAATATTTTTCCATTTTATCTTCAGTAGTACCTCAAGAACGCTATGTAAACTTACTTTTTTGCCCTAGCTTGCAAACTAGGTTTAGTCATTTATTTCCTCGTTTATTTCAACTTAGGTTCAATACTGATTGGTATCGTGTACAAGGATCTCCATGAATTACTCAAATCGAAATCATCCAATAGTGATACAACTAGGAACAGCAGGTAATAAGCAGAAGAGAAGTTTTAAGCAAATTAAAATTTGCTTAAAAAGCATACTTCTATTATCATGTTACATGGCTGTTTAACATCCATTAGAGATGGTCAAGGAGCTAGCTGTTTCAGATTTCCTCTTTAATAAAAAATTAGAAACACGATCAGTAACAAGGTTTTGTTATGTAATACATCAAACCCGAAAGACCGTGTTTGACCGCATTTCCAAACACCAAGAAATACGGGTTATTGACCAAGTGTGAGGTCAAGATGGCTGGATATTGGCCAATTTCTTTTTTTTGCGTGTTTACGGACCGAGACGGAGTCGAGGTCCATAATCACACAAAAAAAGAACGAGGCCAATATCCAGCCATCTTGACCGAACATGCTTGGTCAATAAAGGATTTATTATGTGGCTTTCGGGGAAATTTTTCTTGCACGGCGGGTAGTCCCGAGCGGGCAAGATAGCTCCATCTTGCCCGCTCGGGAAGCCAATCACAGCGCAGGATTTGATTCATCTTGTCCGCTCACGGAGCTAGCCATATAATAAAAGGAGTTACTGATACGATGCGCGGCGCAGTATTTTTGACGAACTTCGAAGTGTTTAGAAATGTGGTTCAACACTTTCTTGATTGTTTGATATTCTTCTAAATCGAAACTAAGACGATAGAAAACGGAGAAATAAACTCGAAAAAATCTATGCTATTTACTCATCAGATATCCAAACACCGTCACGGTCATGATTTCCTTTGTTTAAACGTGATGATTTAGTAATGAGTTTGAGAAAATTGTATTCTCTTCAGGAGTCTTGGCACCATAATAATTGCAGCTACGATGGATCCAGAGCCAAAAAAGTTGAAGCAGAATGTAGCCCTTAAGTTCAGGAACCTGAAGGTAACAAGAACGGAACATTTATAGAGGAAAAATCGATTCTTCCGCTTAATCGAGTGTAATTGAATTACTAAATCTTTGGTACTGTACGTTTTGTTTTATATTTTATTTTTAAAAGTTGACCTAGCATATTTTCAGGTTACTGACGGCAAGAGATCTTGTATGTTCTGGAGCGGCTACAGCGAGAAAAAGTAAGAATCAATTTAATTTACTTGTATATTTTTAGCTTACAGCCTCAGCTTGCTTTAAAGGCAATAGCTGAATGTAACTTCCATTAATATACACCATATAGAATGCAAGCATCGCAGTTTTTGCATTGTCAATTGCCGTCGCGTCATTCAATTCTTTTACTCGCTGGGGGAGGAATGTTTTTCCCCTCCCAACCCTGTCCTATTTTGTCCTTTCAGCAGAGTTCTGGGTTGTTGTTTTGCAGTTTCGTTTTTGAGTCCCCTCGCCTTTACTGGGCCAGAAAAATATTTAATTTTGTTCCTTGTAACTTGATCATGATCTCAAAACATTATTTTGTTAAAGCGACTATGGGCCTTTGTTCATAGCCATTTAATTCCAACAATGGTTTTTTCTGATATCATGTTGGGGCCCAACGACCAAGCTTCAGGATATGCAGCACTGGTTTATGTGTAGATGGGAGGAAGGGGAAAAACATAGGCAGTGATATAAACATTTTGTCTGTCACATTTTATTAAATACCTCTTCTCAGTCCAGACGGGTGGTCAGAGGAAGGATGCCATGTTGTGAGATCGAAGAGTAGCTCAGTACAAACAGA